TGTGGAAAGGCAGGACCCATTTTGTGCCTTTCACTGATCATAAACCAGCCACTATCTAATTCTATTCCAAAACTGGAAACTAAGAGGGTATCATCCTGTTGGGGAATGACTAAACAAATTGTGGTATATGAACACAAGGGAATATTATCGTGTCATGAGTAATAATGGAATTGACAGTGTCAGAGGTAACTGAAAAGATCCTTATTAACTGATCAGAACAAAGTGAGCAGAACTAGAAGAACAATTTATATAATGATAACATTATAGAAGGAAAAAAACTTTGAAAGACTTTAGAACTCTGATCAATGCAATGATAAACCACAAGTCAAAAGAATGAAGGTGAAATATGCTTCCTGACAGAGAGGGGATGAGCTTAAAATACAGAGATATACATTTTTAGACATGGCTAATGTGGGAATTTGTTTTGCCTGAATATGTATACATTGATGGATTTGTCTTTGTTTTGTATTTTTAATTTGCTCGATGCAGGGGAGAGATGTAGTAGGAGGGATAAATTAACTTTTAAAATACTTATTACTTGAAAACAAAAGAAAAAAATTTAAACGTATTCTGTACAATTCCACAAATATTTATTAAGCATCTACTACAGGTCAGATACTGTACAAGCTATGAAAACAGCATAACCTCTTCCCTCATGGAATATTCAGTCAAAGAGAGGGGATTCACCACATACACACACACACACACACACACACACACACACACACACACACACACACACTCAAACACATCCATGCACACACACACACGTACATACATACAGAGTATGATACAAAGAAGGTTATGATAAAGGCAAAAGAGAGCTCTAAACTGAAGATCTGTTTACTTTTAAGGGGAAAGATCCAGAAAGGTTTCATGAAGAAATTCTTGAGAGAAAAGAAGGGTTTCAACAAATAGAGGTGAAAATAAACATAACAATGAGTTTTTTAAAATGATCCTGAATTTCGAATGACTGAAGAACTCTTCTCCTTGGCAGCCAGGATATTATGCTATTTTTGTTCTCCCCCTTCCTCTCTAACTACTCCTTCAACTTCCCTTTTTCAATTAATGGCATCACTGGGCTCACAAGCTGTCCAATTCAAAATTTCAGGGCCATCCTTCTCCTTCCCTCTTCACAGTCAATCAATCATCAAATTCTATTGCTTCTTCTGACTCAATGTTTCTAGATTTTATTCTTTTCTCCCCATTTCCACTCCCATGACTGTAGTTAAGGTCTTAACTCTCGATGCCTAGATATTACTTTTACTTCCTAACACCTACAGATGAAGAAACTGAGACCCAGAGAAGTTAAATGATTTGCCCATGATCACACTGCTTATAACTGTCTGAGGCAGGATTCAAACTCAGGCCTTCCTGACTCCAGATGACAAATTCTCTGTCTCTCCCCATCTAGCTACTTTGTTATTGAAAAGGAGTGTCATATATTTCTTTTGTGTCCCATAGTGCCAAGCAAAGTGTTAAGCACAGAGTAAATACTCAATAAATCTTTGTTGGTTGATTGATTAATGAATTTGAACCTCCCACACTTCAGCTGGTGAGCTGGAACAAAGATGGAAATGGAAGTGGCCATCTGGCCCTTCCCCTACATGAATAAGAATTTCCCCTACAGTATAGAGCTTTTCCTTGAAGGCAGCAGTAAAGGGAAACCCATCACTTCCTGGGTCAACACATTCCACATTGGGATAGGTCTGCCTGTTTGGACATTTTTTCCTGACATCAAACCTAAATTCGCCTCATTTCAACCTAAAGGTTGATCTGAATTCTGCTTCTGGGGTCAAGCAGAATAGGTCTATTCTTTCTTCCACATGACAGTCTTTCAAATGCTTAAAGACAGGCATCAGGTCCCTATTTAGCCTCTTCTTCTCTAACCCACATATCCCCATTTCTTTCTTGAAATCCTTGTATGAAAAGAATTAGAAGCTGTTCCCCATCCTTTGAATACTCTTCAGCTTCCAGCATTTTGGGGGCCTGACCTAGGATTTCATTACTATGGAAAATTTCCAATGAGGAAATTCATTCTATCAACTCAGATCTGTACCTGCTCTTTAAAGCATAATCTTAGAAAGTTGCCTTTGGCTCCGTAAGGCTAAGAAACTTGCTCAGATCACACAGTCAACATATGTTAGAGACAGTCCTGGAACTCAGGTCTTCCTGGCTGAGAGTCTAGCTCCCTTTCTACTATACCTCTTACCTAGTACACAACCTCTTGACTGAGGCTGAAGTAGCATAGCTTACTAGTACCCTTTCTAAAATTGCTCACTTACAATTGAATACAATGCTCCAGACGTGGTCTGACTAATAAATCAACAAGTATTTATTAAGCACCTACTGTCCCTGGTGCTGTACCACAAACTAGGAATTCAAATACAAAAATGAAACAACCCCTACTCAAAATGAGCTCAGATTCTAATAGAGGAAACAAGTAGATATAAAAATGCATAGCTAAATGTGATATTAATAAATATAGTAACACTTACAAGACTTTAATAAACATTTTAGCAAACATGTATTAAACACTTTTTATATGCCAGGTACCATGCTAACTGGGGCAGATTTTTGTGGTACTATCACTCAACTCTGGACTTTTCCATCTCCTCGCTCTGGAGATACCTCCTCCCTGAAGCCTGTTGTCCTCACTGGCAACTGTCTTCTCCAGAGCACCATTAAGAAATGTGCCCCAGTCATTCTTACTTTACTTCCCAACCACCTCTGAAGACTCCACCTTCTCTCCTGTTACATTGCTCCCTTATGAATACAGTTCTCCTTCCCCCACCCTGCTCTTTAGTTCTTTTTATTTTGTATTTTGTCTTTCCCTCACCTATAAGAACTTCAGCTCCTTGAGAGAAGACAGTAACTTATTTGCTCATAGTTGTATATTGAGTGTCTGACAGAGAGAAGCAGTTAAAAAACACTTTATCTATCATTTATTTATCTATCCATCCATCCATCTAGCTAGCTAGGAATCAATGTATCATTTTATCTATCCATCAATGTATCCATCTATCTATCTATCTATCTATCTATCTATCTATCTATCTATCTATCTATCCATCTATCCATCTATGTATCTGTCTAGCTAGCTAGTTATCCATCCATTAATCAATCAATTGTTTATCTATTTAGTTATCTATCCAGCCAGCCAGCTACCTACTTAGCTGGCTATCTACTTGTCTATCTATCCAACCATGCATCTATCAATATATCCATCTATCTATCCATCCATCGATCAGTATCTTTCTATCTAGATAGTGTGGTTAAGGGACTTACCCAGGATCACACAGGCAAGGAGAAAGGATTTGACCCTAGGTCTTGTTGACTCCAAGGTCAGGTCTCTGTCCACTACACTGTCTTGCCTTTCCTTAAGTGAAAACCCCTAAATTTGTTTGAAATGAACTGCCCTGTAGCCACCTCCAGTATTTATGTTCCTGGTATATAGTGGGTATTTAATAAATGTTTATTGACTGATTGAAAGACCTCTACCCACCTTGTAATTGTGAGACTGATTTATTCTAACCCAAGTATGAGGCTTTATACATTAATTCCCTATGTCATTATACTGAATAACTCTGTAAATCTTGCTAAGTGTTAAATATAGGTAAAAGTTATAGAACCTATGAACAGAATTCACAAGATGAAGGCAATATTTAAATCAGTTGTCAGTGTAGCCTGGCTGGCACCTCAAAGACAACAGGTTTAGGGGATCAAGTCCAATCAAGAGAACTGGACATGTTAAAGATATGAAAGTTTATTTACTATACAAAACACTTTATAGTTCTTTGTGCTTTTTCTGATTTTTCAGTATCTTCAGTATCTCCATTCTGAGATTTCTGCTGCTTCTTAGAAATCTTTTTAACCATTTGGTTGTTTATATGTAGGACTCTAATGATAGAATTTAAAAAGTGTAGATTTCCCCTGGTCTCATGTCAAAGACAGAGGATCCCTTTCCCTTCCTATCTCAGACGTAACCACTTTAAAAAGAAAAGAAGGTGCAAAACATCAGGCCAATTCCTCACAGTCCCTCATCAATTTTAGCTTCTAATGACATCTGTTCTTCAACATTTTAGCCCAAGGGCTCTGAGGCCAAAAAAGTATCTAACTTATTCTGCTTGGCCTCAGAGGGAAATACCAGCAGCAATAAACAGATAGAAGTTTCAGAGGCAGATTTTAGGCTTGATGTAAGGAAACATTATATAAAAATTATAGCTTCCCAATAATGAAAAAGGGCTGCTTCAGGACACAGTAGGTTCCCTATCCCTGGCAGTCTTTAAACAGAGAATGAATGTTGACATTTTATGAGGCCGTTCCTCTTCAGTAATGGTTGGATTTGACCACCTTATAGATTCCTTCCATCTTCAAAAACCTGTTTTTGTGCTTCTCTTCCTGGTAGTCCAATCAGGCGCCTGGGCTAGAGGTCAGTTCATATCATGTCCCTGGTGATAATCATTCATATATCATCATAGATTTAAAGCTGGAAGGGACCTTAGAGGTTTTAGAGGCCAGCCCTGTCATTTTACACCTAAGGAAGTTGAATCCCTGAGTGGTTAAGTGATTTGACTCAAGGTCCCAGAGTTAATTGCCAGAACTGATATTTGAACCCAGATCCTCTGACTGAATCTAGTCTGTCAATCTTTGGTAATGTTTAAGGGGATCAGTTGGGGAATGATATTCCTGTGACTAAAATTAACCTCTCTCCCCCACTGCAAAGAAATTCTCACTGGAGTCTTACTACCTCAGAAAGCCTCCAAAGCCATGACTTCTCTTGTAGGAAGGTAATGAATAGGTCAAAGAAAACATCAACAAAACCAGGGAAATTGGGGGTGACATAGTCTAATAACAACAAAATGAACAATAATGCTTTGAAAAGTGCTTTACATACATAATTTAATCCTCACAAAAACCTGTGAGATGTGTTATTATTATCCCCATTTTACAAATGAGGAATCTAAAGGAAAGAGTGGTTACATGATTTGCCCTGGGTCGCATAGAAAGTAAGGGTTGGAGAACAGATTCAAACCCAGGCCTCCCTGACTCCAAATCAACTGTTCTCCCCACTGCACCAGCCTGCCTCCAAGCATGAAGATCAGGGATCAAAATCAGCAACCACTATCCAAAGTCAATGTCAGAAATTCTCAGGTCGGGGAGCCAAACATATCCATGGAACTAGGCAGGAAAACCAGTCCCAGTTCAGGAGCAGCAGATCTAAAACAAAGGGAGAATCTGTTCAAAGGAAGATCAAAGCTAGGGAGGGTGAAGAAGAAGAATTGTATTTTAGAAACAAGAAACACCTTAAGGCCATTTTACTTTATGACTATAGCTCTCCTAAGTAATGTCCCTTCTTCTCCTTCCCATTGAACCAAAAACTCCCTCAGCTAGGAGGTCAGACCTTCACTCACCATTTTCTGTTCTAAAATCCCAAAGGATTTGGGCACTTAGGTTGGAGAGAGGACTATCACTTCATATTTCTTGTCTCTTTACTTTCCAAATTTCCAGAAATGATCATCCTTATGCCACTTGCCCTATAACCTCACTACCCTCTCACATCTCAACAACTCCCAATCTGAACCCCACTCAAAGTGCTCTCTCCAAGGTAACCACTGCTCTCTTAACTGCTAAATGCAATGGTCTTTTCTCAGGCCTCAACCTCCTTGACCTCTGTACAGTTAGTTGTTGACACTGTAAACTACCCCTTCCTCTACCATCCTCTCTTCCTTAACATTCTTTCCTCTTAGTTTCGAGAATGCCAGTCCTTCCTGGTTCTACTTACCTGACTGCTCCTTCTCATTCTTCTTTGCTGATTTGTCACCAATCATGTGTTCCTCTTATTGTTTGGGTATCCTCTAATTAAGGAGGAAAGGGGAGTATTCAAAATTCATTTCAAACATTTAAACCTCAAAAATCAGCAAATGTTACAAATCTTTGTTTTTATTATTTATTGTTGTTCTATTTATAATATTAATTATAATTGATTATAATTATTTGTTGATTTGCTTATTATTTATTAACTTTTATTATTATTTTATTGTCTGGACTTAAGAGAAAATGTTAATAATGCACAGTAATTTAAAAGTCTATCTGTCCTAGGTATTTTTTTCCTGAGGGCTTGTTTTTGTCTTTGTAGCTCTACAGCACAACTAGGGCAGTGCCTCGTATGTAGTAGGTGCTTAATAAATGTTTGCTGAGTTGAATTGTTGAAATGAATTGACCATAAGCTCAAGTATGAAAGTCAAGATTAGATATCGTGGCTAAAATAGAATTGTTGACTCTTTAAGTGAAATATTAACAAAGAATAATTTTCATCACCATCTGGCCCAATTTGCTGCCATCTGACCACCTTTATAGAGAGAAGTTTTAACAGATTACTATTTCACCTTTGTTCAGCATGAGCGTTTTACAAGGTCTTGCCCAGAATACTGTTTCTGTCGACTAGGACATCTGATCTAAAATAACACAGGAAACAGCTAAGATATAGAGACACATGCTAAGGGGATGGAATATTAGTAGCAGCCTAGTCTAACATGCATCAGATTTCCATATTGAATGTTAAATTGTGCTCTTGTCCTAGAGAATTGGAAATAATCAAAAAGTGATTATAGGGAAGCTATTTACAAGACGGTTGGATGGAAAAGGTTATTCCAGGTGTCAGATCCATCAGAAAGCTTGATGCAGAAGGGAGAAATAGGAGTAACCCCATTCGTCCATCCATTAATTCAATGAACATTTACCAACCACCTACTTTGTGCAAATCGTAATGCTAGGAAATTGGCGGAATACTAATATAAATAAAAATCTCAACAGTTTTCTTCTTACAACCTAGCTGGGTGGGAAACTATGAGCATAAATAAATACAATACAGGGTTATATATGATAAATATTAAATAAGCAATATAGGGCTGATCAAGGAAGCCTTCATGGAGGAGGATCTAGAATTATGAGTAGGATTTGAGCAAGGCAGAATGAAGAGGAAGTTGATGACTTGAGCAAGAAGGCCAGGAAAAGTACAAGTCATGTTTGGAACAAGGCACTGGCCTTTCTGTGGCATTAACATTATCCATTGCATTTGACCTGAATTTCACTGGTTCTTAGTGTTGTCTTTATTTATATTGTTGTAGTCTTGTTTATTCTGACTAGCCTGGAAGGTATATGTAAGACTTGTCTGTTGCTAGGTTGTAGCTGACCACTGATTAATTTTTCTCTATACCCAGAAGTTGTTATGTACTTGACAACTGTCTTGGTCAGCTACATTAACCTTGCAAAGTTAGCAAGATTAGCAAACTATTAGTTTATCAAACTTCATGTAATCCAGGTGTGTATCTGTGTATTTAGTGATTATAGTGTTCTTGTGATTGATAAAGGGGGAGGAAGAGGTTGCAGTCCCTACCATCTACTTTCTCACTTCCTCTCATGTTCCCTTCCCTATCAATCCCTCTGAATCTGCCCAGCAGCAACAATCAGAAATAAAGGTAGAAACCCAGGAAATCTGGACTCCCAGTCAGGGTAGAATCCTACTGTATGCTCAAGCTACCATCATGTGTACACCAATCTACAGAGTGAGGCAGCTCATACATTCACATGCCTATGAGTAATAAACAGCCTTCTCCTTTGAGCACCCATGTTCCTTCTTAGTATCTCTTCCATCACAATCCCCTCTTATCGTGTATAGGGAAACAATTAGGTATAAGAATGGAAATATAGCTTGGAGTCAGATTATGAAAGGTCTTAGACGCCCAGCTAGAGAAAATTCACTTTATTCTGTAGGCAACGAAGAACCAACGAAAAATTTTGAGCAGAAAAATAACAGAAAGTTAAATAAAATTAACATCTGTCCTAGATAAAGACCCAAACGGGCTATTGTCTGTAGCAAGGAAGAGCTAACTATTCTCAAACTATACTCTAGTTATCCATCAAAGAAGCCAATTGTTTGTTTCCCAACATGTTATGCCTTGATTACGTGCCATTAGTGACTATTAATAAATTAAACTGTGTTTGCATTTCAAAATTGTGTTTAAATTTCACAGTCATGAATTTACACTGGAGAGCCAAGCTCAGTCAACACTTTCATATGGAAGTACCTCTGATCAAAGCATGGAGCATGACTTAAACAAATTAAGTTTTGGCCTTTTGAATGAAAGTCTGTATCAGAAGATTCATGAATATGTTCATCATTTTTCCCTTCTGGAGTCACTGGCTGATTTTTAGCCATAGCATAGGAATTGTCAAAAAGAAAAAGTTTTAGAATGCTTCTAAGCATCCTAAAGAACTGTCATCTCAGTTGAAGTGAGTTTTAATGCCCTCTTCATGGGGTTAAAAGGTTCATTTTGGAGTTCGCACAGTTGGACATCCATCTGTGTGGTTGTGAAGCCCTGTTAAACAATTTTTTTCTATCAGATTTAATGGCCAAAACTGGATTTTAAAAAGCTTTTAAGCCGAGTCTGTTCTCTACCTCTCTGCATTGCCCAGTGAAAAAGTGAAACTAGACCCACTGTACAGTGAGGCTACATTAAATGCATATGGTTATCATTGGACCTCAGTATAGATTCTTTTTTCTTTTCATTTTTTTTCTTTTGACCATTTGTATCGATACATTTTGTGTTGACACAACAGACGTTGCTCAGAAAAAACCTACACAAACACCTCCTCCATGAAATATGTAATAATGTGCTCAATAGCACATGTCACTTTCCACTTTTGTAATTTACTAAATGTTAGCAAAAAGGAAGCCTGCATGCATTAACTTTGACCATGTGATATCATTGTCCATATTGTGTCCACAATGTGGTAGCACCATCCATTAGATTTGACCTAAATTTCATTGGTTCTTAGTGTCGCCTTTATTTGCATTGCTGTAATCGTGTATAATTTTTGAGGGTTTTCTCTTTATGTTACTTTATTTCACATTTTCCCATGTTTCTCTGAATGCTTAATATGTATCACTCCTCATGGAGAAGCAATCTACCATCCTATTCATAAGCCACTATTTGTTCAGGCCTGTCACTGGATATCTACCTTATTTATTGTTTGAGGTTATCTCCAGGGATGCTGTCATGAACACATCATTACACATGGGTCTGTTCTTGCTATCGTTAACCTACTTAAAGTATTTTCTCAGTAGAGAGATCTCTAGAACAAAGGTAGCTATGTGGATAGTGGATAGAGTACTGGGCCAAGAATCAAGAGGACCCAAGTTCAATTCCCAACTCAAAGATGACTGTATGACCCTAAGCAAGTCACTTAACCTCCCTCATTTCCCTCATCTGTAAAATGGAGATAATTGTTGCAAGAATCAAATGAAATAATATTTGCAAACCTTAAAGGGCTATATAAATGCTGTTATCATCATGAACAAATTAGCAACTCTTCTTCCTCTAAATAAAATCTTGCAAACTGAGTTAATTATCATGTCCAATATGAAAAGCAAGCTGGCCAAGCAGGAAAGCATCTCACAGACTGAATGAAAAAGGAAGAAATGCATTTTCTCAGACAGGCTCAAGATCAAACTTCACACAAGGAAGACACAAGCAATGTGTGAATTTAAAATTAATTTGCTTTATTATTTCCTGCTGCAGCTCAACAAATAATAGATTTTTGGAGGTTGCTGGGGTTTTTTTTTATTCATCCCCTCAAAAATATCCAGGTTGGTGGTGGTTGTCACCATGAACATCCAATAAATGATTCATTCTTATTCGAGTAGGACCCATGGGGAATGTTGCCAATAACGCAGTTCATTTCTTATCTCCAGTTCTCTGCAGAGAAGCACACTCTTCTCTATTTTCACAAAGAATCATAAATTTTTCAGTTAGTGTACAAATAATAACACTGTGTGATTCCATTTGGTCTCTATTCCTCCAGGCCTGAGGAGACGAGCAGGGAAGCTGTCTGGATCAACAGCACACAGGCTGATTTCCACAGCCTGCTGTGAAGGTCCTGGAGGAGAGCGCTCGAGCTGTGTGCACAATCATCCATCCAAAGCTGATATGGGATTTAGCCAGATGACTCCTATTGACTTTACCCACTTCAAGGCTATGGCAGGGAGCTAGAATGCCTCCCCACTGCACCTGCAGGGCTCTGAGGCATTCATACAGTGAAACGGAGGAAGAGGATTCAGAAGCTTGACTGGGAGTCAGATAACCTGAGTCTCCGTCCTGCTCACGACTATGCCCCTACCTTCCTACAAAGGTGCTCCCTTCGTCCCTCTGGAAATTAATGCATGTTTTCTGCCCTGTGTATCTGTTTTGAGGGGCTGTGTGGTACATTGGCCAAGGATGCAGGATGGCTGGGATACATACCAAGAACAGGAAAATCATTTAGTCTTTCAGTACCCTGAAGCAAATCTCTGAGACGGTAAACTGCAAAACAGTGACTGATCTGCATCAGTGGAAGGCGTTTCCGGGAGCTCCCAACATGGATATAAGGTCCTGACCTTATGCCTATTGTACATGTCGTCTCTCCGCACGCCCCCCAAGAGGAAGGCAAGCTCCCTGAGGGCAGGAGCCAGTTCATTTTTGTCTTTCTTTTCTCCCAGACCTAGCATAGTGCCTGTATGTCATAGTAGCTGCCTATTACATTAAACTGAATTGAAGTGAATCGAATTGCAATTACTTTCTTGCTTTGAGAAGTGAAAAATCCATCATAAGCATTAGAGCAGTTTTCCACATGACTGAATAATCCGTAACCCACAGAATGGGTAACTCCATCCCAGATTCCTAACACAGATTCAATCTAGCATCACTTGTAAGAAAATCATCATTCAATGACCCTGAGCCAAACATTTAATTAACCTCTATTAAATGAGAAGCTCATTTCACAACAATTACATCTACTAAATGCCCCTTTAGCTGGTATCACATAGGGCGAGTCATTAATATAGATGGTCTCTGAAGACTCACACATTCTCTGATTCTCTCTCTGGTCCTCCCACATTTAAAAAAAAATCTAAAATAGATATAGCAACAAAAGGTAAGTATGGCTTAGAAGTGGATAGAGCATTTGACATGCGGTCAGGAAACCCAGGTTTGAATTCTGCCTCAGTTATTTCCTACTTAGATGACTGTACTCAAGTAACTTACCCTCTTAGAGTCTCAGTTTCCTAATCTGTATAATGGGAATAATAATGCTCGATCCTGCCCTCACAGGGATGTTAGGAGGAAAGCACTTTGCAAAAAGCTTAGCATATTGTAAAAACGTTGAACCATGACTGTTGCCTTCCTCTCCAGATGTTCTGGGAGCAATATTTGCATGCCTTTTCCAATATGTAAATTAGGAATGAATATTCATTCACCATTTGTCAATACTTCAGTAATTGTATGCCCTAATCAATGCCAGTCCTTGCTCCACCAGTGCAAGTCACAACCCACCCATACCTTCTCTTCCTGTGTGATTTCTGTTTGTGTTCTTCAATGGACCCTCCCTGACTGATAGACTCAAAGCACTGGAGCCCTTTCTCTGGGTCTTTAGTGTTTTATAGATACCTGCACAGCAGTCAGGCTCTCCAGGCCCCCTCACTCTTGCTAGACCACATCTCTTCTGGTCATTTATCTCTTGGATGATGTCTAGTATGTCATTTCTCTGGTGAAGGCATTACTGATTATATGCTATATCTACTGACACCCATCATAGGTCTTTCCATAACTCTATGGGTCATCTGTCATTTTGATGAGGTTTTTCATTCAGCAAGCGAGCAAACATGTGGTGAGCACCTACTACATGCAACATATATATTTTAGGTAAAACAGTCCCTGCCCTCAAGAAGGATACATCTACCAAGAGAATACAATCTCTGAGCCTCAGTTTCCTCATCTGTAAAATAAGGAGGTTTGATGAGTTGACCTCTAATCATAGGATCACAAATATAGAGTTAAAAAGTACGTTAGAGATCATCCGTTCCCACCATTCCAGCAGCTAGGTCATGCAATGGAATAGAGCACTGAGCCTGGAGTCAGAAAGGCCTGTTCAAATTCCACCTCAGACACTTATTTGCTAGCTGTGCATCCTTGGACAAATCACTTAAACTCTGTTTACCTCAGTTTCCTCAACTGTAAAATGGAACTAATAATAGCACCTATCTCCCAGGGTTGTTGTGAGGATCAGATGAGATGATGTTTGTAAAACACTTAGCACAATTCCTGGCACATAGTAGGTAGTATGTAAATGCTGGCTATTATTATTATTATTATTATTATTATTATTATTATTATTATTCTCCCACCCAGGGTCACACAGATTGTAAATGGTACTCAGGACTCAAACCCACATTGTCTGACTCCAAACCCAACATATTTTCCACTACACCTCCCTGCTTCTAAGGTCCTTTCTAACTCTCCAATGTATGATGCTATGATCCTATTAACATGCAAATAGAGGAAAATGTGCAAATTCATTTGAGGAAGGAGAAAGTACTGCCAACTAGGGAGATCAAGAAACACTCCCCAGAGGAGGTGGCATCAGAGTCGATCCCTGAAGGAAGCTAAGAATTTTAAGAGATGGAAGGGCAGAGGGTGTGTAGTCAGTCATACAAGACAGACTGTGCAAAATCACAGAAGATAGACTTCCAAGCTCATCCTGAAGTTCTATTTGGCTAAAAGCAAAAGTACAAGAAGGAGAGAGTGTGGAAAACAAACAAAACTCTGGAAAGATGAACTTGATCCAGACAATGAAGGGCTGTAATAGGTAGCCAGTGAAGTTTCTTGAGCAGAAGAGTGACATGATCAGATCTGTGTGTCAGGAAGACTGTTTTGATAGCCATGTAGAGGGCATATTGGAAGAGAGTGACTGTGAGCAGGAGGAGCAATTAGGAGACTGTTTCAATAAGCCAGGAAAGAGGTAATCAGAGCCTGAATTAGGGTGACAGCAATGTGAATAGAAAGAAGAGAATATTGGTATTAAAAAGACAGATTTGGGCAGCAGCAAACAAGAAGAATCACTTAAAGCAATATGAAATTTCTCAAATGAAATCCAGCCCCATTTCCTCCATTCTAGTCAATTTTGATCACTATTCATCTGCAACATCTGTTCAAGATGTATCCACTAGTAGACCAACTTGATGTAATTCATGGCCTGGGCAATCAGTATTCTTCATCCACATGATTTGCCAAGTATGAATTGTTATGTAAGTTTCTTTCAAGTTTGTCATAGATCTCACTGAGGAAGCCCTGTAGTATTCTGAGACTTGGTGTAATCAACACAGGGTCATCTACAAATATTAATATCGGGAAAATATTACCATACATAGAAAATCTCACTTTCATTTGCATTTTGCACAGGACATCTTCCATGGCTCTTGTGAACGACTTTGGCTCCCATGTACGTCTAACAAAAAAAAATGAAGAAGAATATGTGAACAGCATTTTGTTGTGTATTGTTGAGCATTTCAGTGATGTCTGACACTCCATGACCCCATTTGGGGTTTTCTTGGCAAAGATAATGAAGTGGTTTGACATTTCCTTCTCCAGATCATTTTATAGATGAGAAAACTGAAGCAAACACGGTTAAGTGATTCACCCAGAGTCACACAACTAGTAAGTGTCTGAGGCCATGTTTAAATTCAGGTCCTCCTAACTCCAGGACCAGTGCTTAATCCACTGTGCCACCTGGCTGCCCCAAAACAGTACTACTGAAGCTCAATTAAATCTCAGCAGTTGAGGCTTTATGTAAATCATGCAGATAGTTTCATATAATCTAAAAGTAAGAGACTTTCATATAGCTATGTGATAATACCTCATAGTTGCTGATATTTTTTCCTTTAATAAAAGTTTTGCTTTTGCTTTTGTTTTGCTTACAAACCATGTTGGTAGGGGTGATGGGATGATGGTCAGTAAAGAGATTTTCCCAGGTTTCTCAGTGGGAGTTAGAAAAATGAGATAATCATGATTATTAATAAATATAATAACAATTTCTTTCTACTTTCAAACTATTCCTGCCTGGGTCAGGTTTAGATACAAATTAGATCCAAAATGCTGGGAAGAATAAATGGGTAACTCAGAGAGTATTTGGTACACTGAAAAGAACATTGCATCTACAATCAGAGGAACTGAGTTTAAAATCTGTCTCTGCTATTTACTACCTAAGTGATTCCATGGAAGTCATTAAACTTTTCATATATCAGTTTCTTCATCTGTAAAATGGGAGGATTAGACAAATAGCCTCACTCTCAATCCTATGACCTCTCTAGACCTTTAGCATCTACATATATCAAATGAAAGAGTTGTACTGGGTGATTTCGATGGTTCATCTCACTACAGTGATGATGACGATTTCATGTAGCACTTCAGGTTTTGAAAAGGACTTTATATTATCTCATGCAAATCTAGGTCAGTATTGTTGTTATCCCCATTTTACAGGTAAGGAAATTGAAGTTAAGAAAAGTTAAGTGAGTTTCCCAGGGTCACATGGTAAGTGTTTGGGACAAAATTTGAACTCAGTTCCTCCCAACTCCAAGTATTCTCTATACCATGCCAAGTTGCAAAATTCCCAAAGTTCAAAAAATTCTCATGCTATTGATCTCTCTACCCACTCATCCCCCCAAAACACCATGAAACATTTCTTTGTTGTTCTTTTTTAAAATACATATTAAAATTGCTTTAAAAAAAATCTTTGGACACTCTCGAGAGTTTCGCTTAAGAGTCAGTCAATCAAGCAGCCATCCCTCAGGATGCTCCCCAGCAGAGAAATGTACTTCTGAACAGAATATTCAGATGTTGTCTTACCAGGGCAGATTACAATAGACTGTCACCACCCTAGCCCCAGACCGATTTTGATCACTGTTCATGTTTATTTGAATTCTCATTAAATCAAAGACCTCTAGCCCCAGACAAACTGGAGATGAGGCAGAAGGATGAACAGGCCTCATAAAGAGCAAGGGCCTCTTTCACCACAGTGCCTGAGGAATGACCACTCTTCCTAGGATGTCTTAAAAGAAAATCACTTTGACTATCAGGATCCACCGGGTTTAATGTCTAGCAACAAAACTTAGTGGAACAACTATTTAATTTGGAAACAGAGGTCCTGGCCTGGATTTCCTTTCTCTGTCTCTGACTAGTTGGCTAATATCTCAACCTCCTGGGGTCTCAATTTTTTTCATTTGTAAAATGGGGATAATAATGTTTACATTACCTAGCTTCCCAGGTAGAAAATGCTTTGTAAATGATATGAATATTGGCACTGAGGAGCTGGGAAGGTTATTCCTTTACCCTAAGTAGTATTTTGACTTGGGCATCCTTATCAACCAGCAGTTAGATTCTGCTGCAATGCTGGCCTAGATCTCTGCCTCACGGCTGCACTATCCCCTCTGCCATAATCTTTCTCTATGTCTCAGTTTAACTAGCAATTGTTCATTCCAGGAAGATGCAGGACCAGCCTCTTCCTCTTCCTCAAGTCTAAGACATATCAGGGACTCAGTGGGACAAGGTACTAAGTCCAAATCCGAATTTACTCTGCCACTTACAAACAGTGTGACTTTAGAAAGTCACTTACATCTCTCAGCCTCATTTGCCTTATTTGTAAAGTGAAGGGGTTAAACCCCGAAGGTCTTTTCTTTCTCTAAACATATGATCCCAAGCCCATGCTCTGGGGCCTTCCCCATTATCCAGACCACATTTTCCCCAGTATCAGCCGATTTTTTTTTCCCCTTTCATACAGAACAGAAACATTCAATCTGAGCCACAATTTGAAGTAATAAGCAACTCGTCTTTTTGCAGGGGAAAAAAGGCAATCTCCTAGTAACCTTTGGAAACACCTAAATAACCCACACATCTTTATGGCTGAGTGACTCCTTGGATTAGGGAAACTTTTGAGCTTGTGTTTGCAAAGATTTCCATTAACATCTTTGAGCAACCTCTCATCTCATTTTAAAACAACAGCATCATTCAATAGAAGCGAATCTGGCCTCTCTGTTCCCTTCCTCATCCTGCCAGCTATCCTAATCACTCATATGATATGCTCCTGAAACCCTCGTTCAGCCTCCAATGGAGAATTCTCACCCAGAGGTCACAATGTTCTGGGAGTGGAGGCAGAAGGACCTTTTCTGTCTGGGGTTAGAAGCTTATTTTGGTCTCATTTAAAATAAACCAACATTTCTCCCTCCCCAGCGCGCTGCACCCCCTCTCCTCTCTCCAGCATGGTTAACTCCCAGAGGCAAAAGAAGATTGCTTTTATTTCCCAGGCCTCCATTCCTGCTATAGGCCCGCACTGTTTTTAAAAGGCTCGTTCTCATGAGAAAATGCCATAAGCTATATTTATCTCTAACTAATCCATTCCTATCTCTGCTCCAAGATTAAGGAATTAATGACTGCTACAGCTGCTGTCCTTATCACATTAATTACTGTAAATTGGCTACAGTCTCAAAAAAATCTACTCACAGACAGAGAGAGGGCAAAGTTCTGCTTTGGAACACTGGGTACCAAACATAAACAATGAATCTGTAGGGTAGACAGTCCTAGGAAATGCCTTGTGAATTTTCACAGGTAATAGACGTGTGAATGCACCTGTGAATTTATAATACTATACATACACATAAAGCTTCTTGGAGTCTCAGTCTCATGCACTTTGGGTATTTCACAAGGAACCGTGGACCTTAACCAGATTGTAACTAATTTGAATCAATCACTGGAAAAAGAGCTAGCCTAGCAATACTGAGGAGGAAGCATACATAGATTCCCAAAGTGGCTGATACCACTGCCTTAGAAGGTACCGGAACGATGGTGGGGTGGGGTGGTAGCCGCAAGTACAATTGTGGGGGTAGGGCCGCTGAATAAAAATAAGGGGCCATTGGAAGCATAAGAAAAGAAGAGAAGAAAATTTTGAAAAAACATTCATACATGTTTCATCTGTTGTATAACAGAATTAAAGTTGTAGTGATTACATTATTTTCCCAATAAACACACAAAATGCAAGTTATAACCAATCAGTAGTCAAGTCCTCCAACAGGTCTTAACAAGCAAGTGTTGGCAGGCCAGAGTGTTGCACACTGTCAGAAGTCCAGCATGCATTGGCAGAAATATGTGCTTGTAATAACTTATTTACAATACTATACCATTATATGATGCAATATTGTGTCATCAAAATTTCAATGCAGGCAAAAAAACCACAAATTTACAATAAATTATTAAGTTTAAGATGCATCATTTTCAAATATATATCTTTTTTTTTAAATGATACAAATTTTTTAAAATGTTAAAGGGTTAAAGAAGGTAGATTTCCAGGGAGTTGCTGAGTAATGAAGCAATAGGCCAAATAAGTTTGGGAACCTTTAGTGAAGAAGAAGGAGTATTAGATTTTGAATCAGGGGAATCTTTGTTCAAATCCTGCCTCTGAAACCTACTATCTGTGTGATTCTGGTCATCACTTGAACCTCAATTATCTCATCTATGAAAAGCAATAACACTGTATCTTACCACATAGAGTGGTTGGGAGGTTTGAATGAGGTAATGTGTGAAAAGTGATCTATAAGCATTACAATGCTCTATAAAGGTTAGCTCATTACTTATAATCCACCTAAGACTTTTGCAAGAAAGCTAATCACTTTCAACCATGCCTAGGGATCAAGAGATGACAGTGCTACCATTCTCTAACCTGTTAAATCACATCTGGAGTATGGCATTCAGGTCTCAGCCCCACAGTTTAAGCAGGATATTGATGAGTAGGAGAGGATCCAGAGGAGGTCAACAAAGAAAGTAAAAGGCTTTGAGATCGTGCTGCATGAGGACCAATTGAAGGAACTAGGGGTGTTTTGCCTAGAGGACAGACCAGGGTAGGGACATGACAGCTGTCTTCAAATATTTGTCACATAACAGAGATTATCTGACTTGTTCTATATGGCCCTATAGGGTAGCAATAGGTAGAAAGTGAAAAAGGCAAATTTTGACTTGAGGTAAGAAAAAAAAATGTCCTATCATTTAGATCTAGTCAAAAGTACCTCTGGAGCTTATGGGTTTCCCCTACTCAAGCCATTTCTAATGTGCTATAGAAGAGATTCTTATTTGTGTTTCATTTGGACTTAGATGGTCTCTGGGGGCCCTTCCAACTCTGAGATTTTCTTAAGTTTTTGAATCTGGGAATACGCAGTGTTTTATCACAACCTGTGTATAAACTCCAATCTTATGTTTCTTCCCAGTGGGAACCCATCAAGCTGCGATCCCATGAAGGCAGACGTCAGCAACTTCCCATAGTGGAAAGGGAAATCACTATGGGACTGTATCATATGGGGGGGACCATCTGCTATACCCTTCATGGCAATACATCCTATTGTAGTGTCTTTTAGTTTCCAAATATCTCTGATTCCAAGTCCCTGTGGCTGGGGCTTCCATCCAAGCT